TTGAAAACTTGGCAGTTTTGTTTAATATAACTTTATAACTTAATAAGCAGTAAGTAATATAACAATATTATTCTGTAGTGTATATTGTATGTATGTATGTGTTCACGAAATAAATGAGTTATATATTATTATTATTATTATTACTATTATTATTAATCAAACATGGCAACTTTTCTCGTGCACAGCTGTGCTTTCGTGCTCTTAGAAATTTGTTTAATTTATATAATACTAGAACGCATCCACGCTTCACTGTGGCTGATATATAGATAATGCTACAACTACCATCTATATGATTTCTATTAGTTGGATTATAATTATTAGTTAATGAGATATAGAATTTTTGTGAAGCAACTAGTCTCAGTTTACAAAAAAATGGATCATAAAGCTGTTCGTCTGTTAATAAAGCATGGCTTTTTAGGGGTAAATACTGCTGAATTTGGGCTCAGAGAAATCCACCGATGAAAACATATTTGCTAAGCGTAAAGAGGCGAAAGCTCTGTGTAAAGTGGGTGCCGCGGAAGTTCACAATCTAACAAAAACAACGAATTACTGATTCTGAGAAGTGTGTGAGTGCTCTTTTATCGCAATAAAACCAAATTTTTGCGTCGGTGTGTGGCAATAAAAACATAGCTCCATCATTTCCCACTGGAGTCCAATCGAGAGTCATTCTAGTGGACTGCACATGATGAACCGGTTCTAAGGCGTGGAAAGACGAAAAAATTGGCAGGAAAGGTTAAGATATTAGTCTTTTGGGATGCAAGTGGTATAACACAACTCAACGACTGATTACTGGGCCAGTTATAATCTATTTCACTGTATTTGATTGTCGTTCTTTTCTGCTATTCCCAATACTTGGCAATTGTATTACTTTTGAAGAAGAATCTGTTTAAAATTTCAGGCATATATTCAAATGATTCCTACAAATATGAATTTTGAACAAATCCTTATTATTTGAAATATAATTTGTATTAAATTTTAACATAAAGAGATAAAAAGTATCCCATGGTGTAACTAACACAACTTTCTTTTATATATAATATATAGATTTTTCTTTTCTAAATCTTCTATCTCCTATTTTAAGTAATTAAATTCCCTTTCCTTTTCTTCCAATTTATTTTTCAAACACAAATTTTCCTTCACCAATTTTGTTCCCTAAGAGCTTCTGTTCCTAAACTTAAATTTGTTTGACTTCCTATTTCCCTTTAATTAGCTATCCCTAAAAACCGTACTTTTTCCTGGGCTTCTTTTGCCACGGATGCTAATAGCATTAAATTATTACCGTTATCGAGCAATCCTGATTCGGTATCATTATTTTGAAAAGAAAAATCTTCCGTTACCATTTCAATGATTGAATTGGGACTAAAAGCATTTTTATAATTAAAATAAAACTAGGTTGCGGTGCATTTGGCAAATGCGTGTTCGGAACAGTATTAAGCCTTAGCTTGTTTTTCCACTTCATATTTAAGGAAAAGTGCCGATCACAGGCAAACAGATGCGTTATTTTGGTTTGTCCTACACCCAATCGATTCAGCCAAATTAAGTATATCATAAAAATAAAAATATAGAAAACCCTAAACCTTACAACCAAAGTCGTATTTATGTGTATTTAATTGAAGCAAATAATATTATAGCTACACTTTTCTGCTAATTAAATTATTATATATTTTCAAATACTACAAGTAATGTATATACTATTCTAATTATAATTTTTCTGCCAAAATACTGTAATTTTTGAAATTATTTTTACATTAAGTTTTACAATCAATATTGTTATACAACAAAATATATATTTTTATTTGACGTACGTAATAGAATTTAATAACATATTTTTAAAAAATGCTATATTATCTCTATAAAATATCATGAACAAGGTTTAAGTTTAAAAAATACTATGAATATTTGTACGTAATTTTTGACTTTTTGACTAATCTGTCTTTGTACTTTTCCTTACAATGAAAGTTGAAAACATGCAAAAGTACTAAATTAATCACTTTGAAAATGCACATATAAATGTGCATTAAAATGCAAAATAATAATACACATAACACAAAAACTTTCTTTACCAAACATGCACAAACTTCAATGAAATTTCGTTTCACACTGATTTTGTCAGTTTATTACAGCGGTTTATTTCTGGCATCCCACCTTTTCTGAAATCAGCTGATAGAAATTCCTTGATTTCCATCGCTGTCAAATAATTATGGCCCCTTTTGAGAGAAGAAGAGAGCCAATGCTAAAGTTTCGTATCATCTTATCCATGACACACTGATAAGGGCGAGTAAGTTCTGAAATGTTCGAGCTAAATGTACAATAGTAAGTGATACATGGCTATCATTTTCGTTTACATTTTTTGACATCCAGTTCGTACAGATTTGACATTTCATATGGATATCCCGTTGCATATTGCTTGATTAGGTTGTAATTAGTGCAAATTTAATGTGTTATTGAAGTAATATTTTTAAAAATTTTCTATACATTGCTCACATATGTTGATTTAATCGCCTCAATAGATTCTTCGCTCAGGAGTTATTTGATCAATTACCGGCTTATATTTAATCGAGTTGCCAGCTGTGCGGAAGGCAAACCAAGTTTTTTTTTTTTGCGGGTGAGGGGATGGAAAATGCCTTCCGCATCATCGGTGCTATCGTCACAGCAGCGGTATATGCCACTTGCAGGTCACTTCGACTTTTCCCATTCTGTGGAGGTACTTTTTGAAGTATCCGTGACCGGATAATGGCTGGGTTGTGTAAAAATCGACTTCTCCGAATTTGCGGTTTGTCCATAAGTCTAGATTTTTTATTAGCYTRGCYGTCCATCTGCCGCGACTTTCATTCTCCCATCTTTGTTGCCATGTTGTTATTGTATCATTCCGTATTTGTTGTACCGCATTCTTGTTATTATCGGCTGATTTCTTTAGTTCCCACAGCTTTTTACTTTCATATGCTAGAAGGTCAATTGTTGCATTACCGCTTATAACTAATATTGCATCGCCTGATACTGTCCGATAGTCTGATGCGACTCTGAGGGCTGCGGTGCGGTGCAGCCTGGCCATTATCTTACGCCGGTTTTCCTTTTTAAGCGCGTCTGCCCAGATCTCGGCTCCGTATAGTAAGACGCTGATTGTCGTCGATATTAGGAGCTTTCTCTTTTCTTGGCTGGGGCCTCCTATGTTGGCCATTAATCGGCTCAGTTGAGAGGTGATCTTCGCTGCCTTTCCTGCGGCGTGCTGGATTTGTACACAGAAGGTTAGTCTGGGGTCCAGTCTTACGCCTAGGTAGTTTACAGCTCTCTGTGTCTTTAGAATATCCGTAGTTATGTGCATGCTTATCTCGAGAGGTATGTGCTTGTTTGTTAGCAGTAGTAGCTCTGTTTTCTCCGTAGCGAGCTGGAGGTTGTGTGTGTCGAGCCATGTTTGCGTTTTCTTTAGTTTCATATAGCAGTTTTCTGTTGCTAAGGTAGCTCCGCACCACAGCCCTGAGGTAGTCGGGTATCTTGAAGCTTTTTTTGAAAGCGTCGATCATGTCCACCCATCTAGCACTGTTGAAGGCGTTTCGGACATCTAGAGTCGCCAGTAACACTATTCTTTTATATTTATGCCATCTGCGCTGCGCTGCTTCTACGCTTTCAATGACGCACTTTATGGCTCCTATAGTTGATCTGCCGGGCCTGAAGCCGTGTTGTCTGGGATACAGGCCTCCAGCTTCGTTAATAGCCGCTTCGAGTCTGGGTTTAATTAGGCTTTCGTATAGCTTTCCCGCTGTATCAAGCATGCATATTGGACGGTATGCTGATCACAGATTGGGGTCTCCTTTTCCCTTACTGATTGGCACCAGCCGTTGCTTTTTCCATGGTTCAGGGAATATTCCGGTTTCTAGGCAGGCAGGAGGATTTTTGCTGGGTTAAGTCAGGTGGCTTTGCTCGAGCGCTGAGCTTCTTCATAACTACTTTATATCCAAGTCCCCAGGGACTTCTGTTTATATCCTCGCGTAGTTCCTCCCATTTTTTTCTTTTTGCTGTCGTCGATGGCGTGATTCAGCTCCTTTTTGCTGCTTTGTATTGCTCGGCTTCTTTGGGTACGGCTCCTCTGCGCCTGGGTCTCGTGCAGGATCTGTGGAGGTGGAGGCATGTGCGTCTGAGGCGGGCGATATTTTCAGTCCACTAATAGACTGCTGCCTTGTGTTTGCTGTGGGAAGCCTTAGACATTGATTTTTTACAGGCTCTTGCTATATTAAGCATTGTGTGCTCGAAAATTTTTCTTGCATTTTCTGGGCAGCTGCTAGATGGGTTTTGTTCGTCTATTGCGGAGATCAGTTTCGAAGTATTTAGCTTCGAGATGTTCCACCTCCGCGTTGCAGTCTTTTTCCTGCACTGGTTAGCGTTTGTTCCAATGTCGATAGTGAAGGAAATGTACTGGTGATCGCTGCCGGTGTAATCCTCCAAGACTTTCCATTCCTTTATTGAGCCTACCAAGCGTTCTGATGATAGAGTAATGTCTGGTGTAGTTTCCTCCCATCCCGGTCTTCTAAATGTGGTTGCATTTCCCGTGTTGAGCACTATTAGGCTTAAGCGCGCAGCCATTTCTAGAATGCGCTTTCCTCTCGAGTCCGTGTTTGGCATACCCCACTCTACGGCTTTGGAATTTAGGTCTCCGGCGTTAATTAGTTCACCTTCTATAGACCTGGCTGTGTCCTCAATATTGTCGAGCTTTTCTCGGAATTCCTGTATGCTATCGCTTGGCGTCAAGTAGCAGCTAATTACTGTAAAAAGGTCGCATTTGGTCCAGACGAAACCATTGCCGTTCCCTTTGTCTACAGTGATGGCGTTACTCCCTGGTGGTAGCCATATAGCGGCGGTGGAGCTGCTATCTTCCAGCCAGGTGCCTCTCTCTTTCGTTTTGTATTGCCCGCTTATGATGATTAACTCGTAGGCGTTCTCCGCCACCATTTACGAGAGTAGTGTGTCTGCAGCCCTGTATCTATGCATATTGGCCTGTAAGATATTCATTTGTTTTGGTATTTTCTATATACTATAAATTTTGCGGATCCCGGGATATGGTCAGCCTTTTCGTGTTTAGCCTCCACGCAGAGGCAGCATGAGGGGGGCTTTGTGCACTCTTTCATTTTGTGACCTGGTTGGCCGCATTTTATGCAAGCACCTTGTCCTCTTCTGTCGGGTCCTTTGCAATCCCAGGCTAAGTGCCCTGGTCCAAAACAGCGAAAGCATATTTTTGGGGTTTCTTCCAGTCGCAGCCTGCAGTTAACCCAGTCGATTTTTATGCGTGCCTGTCGAATCAGTATGTCAGCTTTATCCTCGTCGAGCGTTATATATGTTATGCTTATCGTCAAGTCTTCGATGGAGTCCTGTAGCACTTCTTTTACAGCCTCTGCTACCTCTTCTTTTGTTGAAAGGGAGTCGAGGTCTCTAATCTCTATTGTGGCTTTTGGTTTAAGGTCAGCCACAGTTGCGGATTCTCGGAGGGTCGTCTTGAGTGCTTCGCAGAAACTGGCTTTTATGGATTGTCCTTTCTCCAGCTCCAGTAGTGCAGCTCCGGCTCTTGTTTTGCGAATCCCTTTAATTTTCACCTCTCCTTCTCTTATGTTTACCTTGCTACGGATACACTTGAGGACCTCGGCGTAGCTATTTCCTTCTGCTGGTTTTATGATTACGGTCTCCGATTGTCGTTTGGGCCAGCTTTTTGCTCTCTGGTTTGAGGCGATATTCCTTCTTTGTTGTCCTCCGTCTTTTGGATTTTTGTTTTCCGTTCCTTCGGTTGCGGGTATCTTCCTTGTTTTTTTGGACAAGACTTTCTGCCACTCGCCGTCCTTTTCACTTCTTGGTCGCACTGTTTCTCGAGGCTCCACTGGACTTGTCGCCCACCGTTTCGAGGTTTTTGGCTCTGGGGTCGTGATCCGTCTGCTTAGAAGACCGCGTCTTTTCTCGTTTTCTGCGATGAGCCAGTTTCTGCGGTAACTCTTCATTACATCGAAGAGTCCGTCCAGCTGTGCCGCTCCGTTCTTGACATCCAAGCTGACGTTCTTTTTTTTGCCATCGCCGTCTTCATGATTTGCACAATACTCTTGCATTTTTCCAAAGATTCCTCTTCTGCTCGTCTCATTTGAGTGATGAACTTCTGTTTCGGCGAGTTTTGAGGTTCTTCTGTGGTGGCCACTGGAGTGCTCTCTCTTCTGTTTGCTTTGCTGATGGTTCTTGTGGGGCAGGAGTTTCCTTCGAGGCTGTCTTTTCTCCAGTTTTTTCAAAGTGTTTAGGAGTTATGGTCACGGTGGGGCATCTAAGTATCCTACTACTTCTGCAGAACACGGTTCCGTATTCCTCGTCTTAAGCATATTTGTTTTTCTGTTCTTTAGCTTGTTCCTTCTGTTTTGGTTTTGTTGTTGTTGTTGTGTTGTGCTCATTTTAGATCTATTGGGTCTCCGCTTCAGGCCGCTATCTCCGCGCGTTGTAACAGTTGCCCTTTAAGAACCCCGTGTCCTTATGGGAGCTTGTGTTCAGAGCCAGGTTCAGGCACGAATCAGGAGGTCGTTTCAACTGAGCCTGTACGGCCAAGAAGTTTTGGCGACATGCATTGAACATACTTTAAGACCTGCCAGGGTTTTAAGGAGACGGAGGTGAGAGCAGCATTAGCCTGCCAGGCATTTCGGTAAGATGTCACTCTTACCTACTGAGGTGATAGAATACTGCCCTCACCAGCCCTTTGTCGAACGAGTCCATTATTTGTTTCCAGTATTCCATAATCAGAACCTTACTGGACTCGATTCTGATGGGCGCTTGCCCAGGGTTTTCGTCGGGCTTCTGTGTGCTTTTGGTGCTGGTCACTGTATGGTTCCCTCGTCGCTTTGTTGCCTCTCTCTTGTGGGTAGGTTCTCCCTCGGTGCAGCCCCGGTGGGGGTTGCTGACGCTTATTTAAAGGCGGCATCTTCTCGCCTATTCGCCGGAGGTTCATTGGG